CTGCTTTCCACAATGGTTGTACCATTTTACAGTCCCACCAGCAGTGTATGAGAGTCCCAATCTCTCCACAGCCTCGCCAGCATTTGTTATTTTCTGTCTTGTTGAACTTAGCTACTAGTGCTGGAGCAAGATGGTATCTTATTGTTGTTTTGATTTGCATTATTTATTTCTTTAATATAATTTTATTTCATTAATATTGCATTGTCTTATGTGTTTATAAAGTAACTCTAATTTACCCAAGTCAATAAAAACTTTCAAAGAAACTCTGCAATTTATGAGGGTTTTATTATAAATGTGATATATTTATCATATAATTTTTAAAAGAGAGAAATATACAATTTAAAACATGAAAAAATTATCCTAATACACAGATTATCATTGCTATTATCTTAGTGAGTTTTGCTTTAATTCATCCTTCCAGTGAATCTGACATCTTGTTAATAGTGTACATATTTTAACATAATTGATTTAAAAATTTGTAACTTAACTTCTAAACCTCAAAATTCTACCAATTAAATGTTTAAGTTAGTAAACACTGGGCAGTACCTCATAACTCTCCTACTGGTATCGGTCATTTTACTTTGGTATTAATCAGTAAGGAGCCCTGATAGCACAGTGGTTGACTGCTCAGCTGCTTAACTGAAGGGTTGATGGTTTAAACCTGCCCAGTGACTCCATGGTGATTTCCTCCTGTAAAGATCTCAGCCTAGGAAACCCTATGGGGCAGTTCTACTTGACTTCACCTAACAAAACAACATCTCTAAGGTCTCTTGGATCCATAACTTTCCATGATTCAGTGATATTTTTTCTATGGGATGCTGTCTTCTGAGAGTTAAACAACAAAAGCATGAATAAACTTTTGTAACCTAACCTGTCTTCCAACCTGTGTTGGAAATAAGAAACATTCATCAAGTGTTTACTGGGTGTCAGGTTCCTATCTAAGTGCTTTGAATGTTCATGTGCTTTACCCTTGCAGGGAAACACTGATAAACAGTTTTACAGGGGCACAGGGATTAATTGCTTGCCAGAGTCATACAGTTGGTAAGAAGCAGTAGAAAAAAAGGATTGATCTTTTGCAAAGCCTAAAATGTATAAAATTTCTAGTAGTTTTCCATCTCTGTTAGGAATACAGTATGATTTATTTTACTCTCTTTTTCAGTTTTTAAAAAACGTACCTTGGTATGTTGTTGTTATTATTTTTTAAAATCATCTAGTACGTTTGTACCTTACTTATTTTTTAAGTCGAATCACCAAGGGCACAAGTCACTGAGTTTTCCTGGCACGTGTTGTTACCTGAGTGGTGTCTGTCTTCCAGAATCCCCTACTTTGAAACCAGTGCTGCCAATGGAACGAACATAAACCAGGCAGTCGAGATGCTCCTGGACCTGATAATGAAACGAATGGAACGGTGCGTGGACAAGTCCTGGATTCCTGAAGGAGTGGTGCGATCCAATGGCCACACCTCCACAGATCATTTAAGTGAAGAAAAGGAGAAGGGGGCATGTGGCTGTTGAAAAGTCAAGCAGGCACACAACAATTCAAGTGGCCTGTGTCTGTGATTGCTTCTGCGGGTGGTATGTGGCACAGTGAGAGATTAATGGGCGTTGGATACAAACTGCTTCTCACCGTCCCAATTAGACCTATCAATCAGACATCCAGTTTTAGAATTAATTTGCTGGAGTTTTATAAATATTTCTTTCAGATTTAGCCTGAGAGTTAGGAAAAATATTTCACAGAGCCAAGAGTGCCTTAAAAGCCTTAACCCATGGCATTTGAGCATTCAAGGATTTTGCAGCCACAAAAGAGTGCATTTATTACACAGAATGACTGTGAGGATTGAGGATACTGTCACCTGCCTTACTGTAGCTAGGCCCAGAGTCTCACATTCAAAATCTTTGATGCAATTTTAAAACTGTCACAGTCTTGAATCCAAATGGAGAAATCCCTACATGTACCATAGATGAACTTCTAAAATGCCATCTAACTCACTTGAATATTACACAAGAATGTCCACATACATCAGTTCACTGTCTTTGAGTGTCAATTTTTTGTAAGCATTCCCTTTAAGTGAATATGGATCAAATTATAGCCTAATCTATGGACCCTGCGTACAGTGCATTGACCAATTGTACACTCATTGTGACTCTTATTTTGTGGGAGAGGGATTGGGCAGCCAGGGGTAGGGGTGACTTAATGTAGTTTGAGGAACTGAACTGGGGCCTCTGGTTCCCTACTATATTCCCATTGCTTGGAAGGGTTGAATGAAGGCTCAGGGAACTAGATTTTGTAGCTTTAGTTCACTGTGACCTGTGCTGGTCACATATGAATATAGCTGGTGCGTGTGCTGCAGTTTTTTGTGATAAGCAAACATCTGGCTTCTTTTTCTGCATATTATCATGTGGGTCTGGCATTCTCAGACTGTGGTTTCAGTTAGCTTGTAAACTGCCAATCTTCTGTGACTTCACCACCAGGCTCTGTGGTGATGTTTGCAATTTGTTTTATTTTCATATTGATGGCATTGAAGGAATTAGTTTTTAATTACATTAAATGTCTGTTTACTATTTGGTGGCAGATAGATGTTTTGTATTTAAGTGGTCACATTTGTACTCCAGTTCAATGTATGAAAAATTAAGTGTTTTATAGCCTATAGTATTTCATTGAGATCACAAGCATTTATTCTACATGCTGGGTCTTGCCAAAGTCATGGCATTCTGCTGTGCTGCCAAAGTGTCTTCACACCAAATCTAAGGTGGTTTTAAAACATGCTTTATGGCAGCTGCTATATTATAAAGTTCAAAGGTATTTCATTTAGGGGACGATTCTTATTTATTAAAGTGGTTTCAATAAAGTAGATTTATATTCCAGAGACCTTAATGGCTATTTTGGAAGAAACACCAGTAATTATCATTTAAGCAGAGAATCAAAATAAATATATTTTGTGGTGGTAAACATTTGGTAGAATTGTAATTTGAGAAACATATGTATGATAGGAAATAATTACTTTTAAATGATAACTTTGAAATGGCTTTCTGTTGAGCAACTATCTTGCTTTTTGCCACTGCCCCTCTCACCAGTTCCATAACAAACTTAACTGTGGTTACCAAGGTTTTCCCTCTTTTAATCTTTGAAATGGGGACTTACTTTATATACTAAAGAACTCACTGAGTCCTTCACATTTGAATTGTGTATTATAATGAGGAAAGGATTCAGATTCAAGATCAGGGTCATAACCACACACCAGTGCCTTCTAAGATTCCCATAATACTTTAGAGGAGTGAATCATAATTTCACAGCTGTATGTCAGGGCATATTTTATATGGTAGTTGAAAATAAGACGATACTTGCATGTTTCCGTTTTCAAGCACCAAATAAGTAATTAGCTACAGATTCCATTGGCCTTTAAACATACACAGTTAAGCATGTATGTGATATGCTGTACACACAAGAACCATCTTTAGTTATTGAAAAAAATAACCTGTACTCTTTTTGGAAATCATTTATAAAAAAATTTGTTATTCAAGTACAATGTATTTTGTGTGTCAATGTATTTTTCTATTTACAAGCCTGTGTCAAAGTGAAGTGTATCTTCAGTGAACCGTGTGCTAATTAACCTAATAATAAAAAGTTGTCTAGTCAAGTTTGTGTGTGAACATAATTTCATTTCCCATCATAGTAAAGTTTGAAACAAGGGGTCATAATGATATTTGGGAAAGAAAGTTTTAATTCTGCTGAAGGAAATCAAGTTCAGGGACACAAATTCCATTAAGTGTTAATAAGCGACCAGCCAAGACAACATATTCTGGAAGTAATTCAAATATGTTTGCTAATACTTATCGAGCACCTGTGGTGTAGGAAGTGTTATATGAGGCAATCTCAGATGAACAAAACAAGGATGGTAAGAGATTGAACAAAAGTGGAGATGGGCCTTGAAGGGATGGATGCAAGAAACATTGGGAACAGTATGGTCATTGATTGGATGAGGAGGGAATATGTGGGTAGATTGCCTATGTGATCTTACATCCACCTCATTTACTGCTCCAGAGGCACACTGGCTGCCTTGGAGCAATCAAGTGTGTTCTTACAGGGCTTTTGCATTTGCTGTTCCGTCTGGAATGCTATTCTTCCATATATCTGCATGGCCACTCCCCACTTCAAGACTGTTCAAATGTCACTTCCTCCCAAAAGACTTCACTGACTTAGTATAAAAGGGAGTCCCTGGGTGGTACAAATGGTTAACACATTGAGCTGCTAGCCCAAAAGTTGGAGGTTCCAGCCTACCCAGAGGTTCTTCATAAAACCTGACAATCTGCTTTTGAAAAATCAGCCATACAAAAGTCATATGAAACACTGTTCTACTCTGACATATGTGGAATCGATTCCAGGGCAACCTTAAGGCTTGAATCACCAAACTTTAGTCCAAAAAAAAAACCTCACTGCCACCCAGTCCATTCCAAATGATAGCGACTCACTTTGGGTTTCCAAGGTGGTAAATCTTTACGGAAGTAGATTGCTCAGTCTTCCTTCTGCAGAGTGGCTGGTGGGTTTGAATGACCAACCTTCTGGTTAGCAGTTAATGCCTTAGGCACTACACCATCAGTGCTCCTTATTACGTAAAGTGCTGTTAAGAATTTACAAGTATAGAAAGAGTCTGTGACTACCGTGCTAACATTAGGAAAAGGGAGGTCACTGAATCTTGCACAACAGAGACTAATATCAGTATATCCACAATATTGCATTACCATTAACACCAAATACCAGACAACAGATAAACACACAAATATCTGAGATCAGATGGGGGTCAGTGAACAAGATTATACTCTAGACCAAGGAAAGATTCAGCAGAGGCTAATCTTGCACAGATACCAGTGATACAAAATACCTGCAATCCTCACAGAAACAACAGAAGACAGACATAGAGTAATCCCTCACAGACACCCAGACACTGTGGGAGAGAGAGCCAATGGATCCACCAACTCAGGACCATAGTACTGGGGGACGCCAGACTCAAATGGCACAACAAAATACATAAAAATCTTGTTCTACAAACTACATTGTTCAGTAGTGACTGGGGTCTTAAAAGCTTTCAAGTGGCTGTCTAAGATACAGCTAATGGTCTCCTATCATCAGAAGTGAAGAAGAGTGCAAAAATCCAGGGGCATTTGGAAGCAATCAGCCCTAGGACATGATGGACTTCGAGACCAGAAGAACTAGATGGTGCCTGGCTACCAATGCCAACCACTCGGGAAAGGATCAAAACTGGAGATCCTGGAGAGAACGGGAGGAAAAAGAAGGAACAAAATCCAAAAACTCAATAATGACCAGAATTACTTGTCGGATGGAGTCTGGTGGGACCCCCCAATACTATGACCCTGGGATACACTTCGGGCCTGCAATAAAACTCACTCTCAGGGACTGGCTCTCAGTCCAATAGTAAACAAGATGTATACGCAGACTACTCAACCCAGGGTGACACTCTATGGAGATGCATCCCTTGGAGCAATTGACCATGGGGCACCAGAGGGGCAACATTTGCACAGAGGAAATGCAGGACACACAGAAGGGCACGGGGTGCAAGTTACTGGGCAGGGAGGGGAGGAGACTGGGTTATGGTTGGGGATGGTAATTGGGGAGTGAAACCAAATGTACACGAAATGTTGAATGTAAAACACCTCTCTGTAAACTAAAAACTTGATAAAGAAAAATAAATAAAATGTACGATGCCAAGGGCAGCTAAAATCTGTTGGTTCAAGGTATTAGGAATGAAGTGATGCAGAGCAGCACCAAAAAAAAAAAAAAAAAAAAAAAATATATATATATATATGTACACCAAAATGGAAAACTGTATACAGGACATAAGCAGGCAATTAATAGAAAAAATAGATTTCAGATGTGGAAAAATTCTTAATTTCACTCATAAATAAAGAAACGCAAATTAAAATAATAATGAAATACATTTTCACCTCAGGTTGGCAAAAATTAATTTGACAAGGATTTTATTGGTTAGTGACAGTGTAAATTGGGAAAAACCTTTCAAAGGCAATCTAGTCTTATCTACCAAATTTTAAAACTGTACATAACTTCTGACCTAGCAGTTCTATATGGATGAACTCTTTATTTGGGGGGGAAAAAAGTCAATAAGGACGCTTATTATGCCAAAGATAGGAAAGGAATATCTTTCAATTACGGGATCAATTAAAACATACCATCATACATTGGAATATATATGACTATGAAAAAGAATGTTAAAGATTCATTAATAATAAAATACTTACTGACAGTTATGGGGACTGGGGATATAGTTGCCAACAAAACACAAAATCCCTGCCCTCAAGGATTCCAGTGAGAGGAAACAGGTGACAGTAAGATGCAGAAAAGGGTAAAAACATTAGTATTTTTAAGAAAGGGAGCGGAGAATGCACACACACAAATGTACATGTTTGCCTATGCACAGAAAATCTCTGGTAGGGAAGGAAAGGAATTGACACAAGGCAGGAGGAATGGAGGTGTGGCGAGTATCCTGTGAAAATGTTTTTACCACACACGCTTATTTAAAAATTTGCTGGTAAAGTCCTTGGAGCCTCAGAGACTCAATGACTTTCGTGTCACCGAACCATAAAACACAGTCAGGCTTAAAGTTCTCGTCGCTTACACTAGGCAAGTCAGCCTGGAACCGGGTCTACAGCCGATCTACAGCAGGCACATCTGGTGAAGAATGCTGAAAGTACCATGGACTGCTAAAAGAACTAACAGATCTGTCCTTGAGAAAAGTGCAGCCAGAATGCTCCTTGGAAGCAAGAATGGCCAGACTTCGTCTCACCTATTTTGGTCATGTTGTAAGAAGGGACCATTCCCTGGAGAAGCATGTCATGCTTGGTAGGGTGGAGGGTCCACGAAAGAGGGGGAGGCCTTCAACGAGATGGATTGACACGGTGGCTGCGATGATGGGCTCAAGTATAGCAGGGATTGTGGGGCTGGCGCGGGATCCGGCAGTGTTTCGTTCTGCTGTGCATGGGGTCGCTATGAGTCGGAAACGACTGGACGGCACTTAACAACAACAACAACTACTGTATGGACAGCATTCGGGGGCAAGACACAAACCAAACATGAGATACGTAAGATAGGCGTAAAATGTTGAAGTATACGCTATAAATTGTAATCCACTGGACGGCAACGGTTTAAATGTTGACATATGGAATATGGTTTAAAGAAAAACCCAGACCAAATCCGTTGCCGTTGAGTGTATTCCTACTCATGGTGACCCCACGTAGAGGAAAAAAATAGGCGCTAACAGGCGGAGTTCAGAAGATGGCTCAGGAACATTTCAATTTCCTAGAAGATTGGTTGCGAAGCCTCGTCGGCAACTGCGCCTGCGTCAAACGGCGAGGGTAAGTGTAGGGAGGAAGCTAACAGCCCAATTGGCCGCCAGGAGGCGCTGTCACTTTCCGGCCAAGTCCCAAGAGCCCCGCACGCGCGGAGGACGCTCGCCTTTGCTCGGGTCATACTGGGAAAAGAATCAGTTCCTGTAATGGGGCCTACGTCACTTCCGTTCAAGCTCGGCGTTTAGGTGGTGGGTACCCACGCGGGGTCAACATGCGTATAGAGAAGTGTTATTTTTGTTCAGGGCCCATCTACCCTGGTCACGGAATGATGTTCGTCCGCAATGATTGCAAGGTGAGGTGTCTGAGGGCAGCGCGCGTCCCGCCCGCGGTGGCACGCTCGCCTGGCACTCCCCTCCGCAGTGCCTGGGGATTTCGACCCGGGGTCCCTGCGGTGCTCTCAGCAGAAGGTGGTTTTGTGAGAATCCGGGCATAGATCTCCTCCTGGCGGGGATGGGGGTGGGATAGGGTCCTCTTGGGCCCGTCCCAAAGGGAGCAAGGCACCGGGCCACCCTTTTCAATGAAGTTCAGAAGTGAATTTAGTCGGAGTCGATGGAGAGCCTGGGGTTCTGTGAGAGCTATTCGGCCACTCTTGTATGTGGGGCACATTCTTAAATCCAGGAAACTTTGTTTAGCACATGTACAGTTAAGCATCATGGTAAGGCCCATGTTCAGAGAGATGACTAATACCTGGTACCGAGAACAATGCGTAGAAGTTGCAAGAAATCTAAGTGTATGTTACAATAGTAGAGTCACGTGTGAACTGTTAGGGGGACACAGATGAGGAAGTATTAAATTGGAGGTGAGTTCGGGAGAGTCGTATATGAAAAGACTTAGAAATGAGGTGACATTTATTGAAGTTAGAGTAAGAAACAGAGGAGAAGCTACAATAGGTGGAGGGAAAGTGAACATTTTGAACAAAGGCATGAAAAGGAGGAATTTTTTCTCTTTGTTGAAGTTGCTGACTGGATTGTAGATAATAGAAGTTAGGACTATATGTACAACCATGGTAGAGCTACAAATACATAGAAAGACTGAATGATTTGTTAATTTGCTGTCTCATATCAGAATGAATTCCATTTCTCTCCTTTTTTTTTTAAATACAAATTGACCTCTCTAACATTTGCTTTTGAATTCACTAGGCACTTATTAAAAATACAAATTCCTGGTTTCCACCAGATCTGTTGAGTTAGAATCTTCTGGGAATCTGATTATTTAACAAGCAGATTGCTATTTCAGCCCTTATAGCTCTATTATAGTTTGAAAGCATTGACCCCATCAAATTAGGAACAAGGGCACCTGCTAAAAGTGAGCAGCCAAATTTGTGTACTTAAAAGAACATGTAGAAGATTCAGAATAACTGCTTTCAGGAACATAAGAAGAAATGTATAGGAAATGAACCAAAGCATTGCCAGATTAGAATTTGGTTCACAGTGGGCAATACGGCTTTGTAGATGATTTTGTCATCATGATTTCATTGTTATTGCCCACCAGTATTTTACACCTGAATGTTGAATTAAAAGGGAGCTCTAGTGGCATAGTGCCTAAGGATTTGACTGCTAACCAGAAGGTTGGCTGTTCAAACCCTCCAGCCACTCCTCAGAAGGAAGGTTGGGCAATCTACTTCCATAGTGATACCGCCTCAGAAACTGAAGGAAGGGTTGCTTTGAAGTTGGAGCTGACTCGACGGCAGTGAGTTTGGTTTTTTTGGTTATTGAATTAGAAAAATAGATCGTGGGAGCAGTCTATTAAATATATTAAAATAGATCTAGAGTTGAGTATTGATCTGGCGGACACAGTGGAAATTCAGGATGATGAAGTGTTGCTAGCAAGGACAATTGAATTGATAGTGAATCAGCTTGGTGTAATGCAGACGTGTGGGTCTAGAATTGAGTTAATTGGGCAGTTAAGTAGAGGCCTTGAAGCACTGATGAAGAACAAGTATTTCATTTTTTCTAAGTTGAAGTTTCTGTATTTCCTTAGTTACAAATCTAAATTTTCTGTTGGACAGGGGAAATCTGCTTATATCTAACACTGAGTGTGCTAGAAGAGAATTCCTTATTACCTCAAATCTTTCTGCCCTCTCAGTACCACTGCCTTCTGCTTTCACCTTTTGTATCTGGATACCAAGTCCTATCAATTCTATCACTGCAAGGATGGTGATGTCCTTGCTCTTTCTGCCTTTCTTCCATTGTTCCAGAAAGGCAGTTGTCACATTTATAGCCTCCTACCTAGTCCTTCTGCCATCAGGTTCTTGGCTTCAGAAACTCTTTCATAAAGACCTGTCCTCTTTTTGAGTAGCTTCTAAAGGGCAAAGTTAGTACAAATGTGCCATATTTTCACATACTCTGCAAGCAGGATACATACACACTTAATAAGTGCTTAATAAGTGTGTGTTGAGTTAGCAGACTAATGCAGGGTTGAAAAACTTGAAGGCTGAGGTATTAGATGAGTCAAGGTATTAGATGGTATTGCTTGGATGCTGAAGACCGAGGATGATGATTAAAAGGGAAGTTTGAACCTATGAACTTGGCCTTGCACATAATTTATCACCTACCCTGAGGTAGAAACCGTTTCCTCATGTTTCCATATTATTTCATACATGATTACTGTATATAGGTTTCATCCATTGTTTATAACCTTGTATGATCTTGTGCTCTCTTTTATTTGCAAAATGAGGCAATACTACTAGATTTAGCTTCTCCAGATGGGTACCATGTTTTATCCTTCTATCCCCAGGGCCTAGTAAAACATAAGGCACATGGTAAATGTTCCTTTTTCACTGAATGAATCCCCTTCATGTCTTCAGTGACTCCAGTCTCTTTTGTACTTATTAAATATCACCTATTAAACAGGGAGTTCAAATAGACTTCCCTATACCTTCCCATTGGGTTCTAGTAGAAATTGAGGAGACCTAGGGTAGGGTCAACCCTCTCATTAGGCAGATCTCAGACATGGGGATTATCCTTGTTGTTGTTATGTGCCATCGAGTTGGCTCCGACTCATAGTGACCCTGTGTACAACAGAACGAAACACTGCCTGACCCTGTGCCAGCCTCACAATTCTTTCTCTACCTGAGCCCATCCTTGCAACCACTGTCCATCTCGTTAGGGCCTTCCCCTTTTTCATTGACCCTCCCACTTTACCATGCATGATATCCTTCTTCAGAGAATGATCCATTCTGACAACATGACCAAAGTAGGTGAGATGAAGTCTGGCCATTCTCATTCCAAGGAGCATTCTGGCTGCACTTCATCCAGAACAGATTTGTTAGTTCTTTTGGCAATCTGTAGTACCTTCAGTATTCTTCGCCAACACCATAACTCAAAAGCATCAACTCTTCTTTGGTCTTCCTTATTCATTTTCCATCTCTCACATGCATATGAGGTGATTGAAGATACCGTGGCTTGGGTTAGGCACATCTTAGTCTTCAAAGAGACATCTTTGCTCTTCAGCAATTGAGAGAGGTCTTTTGCAGCAGATTTGCCCAATGCAATACGTCTTTTGATGTCTTGACTGCTGCTTCCATTGGTGTTGATTGTGGAACTAAGTTATAGGAAATCACTGACAACTTCAATCTTTTTTCAACATTTATCATGATGCTGCTTATTGTTAAAGTTGTTATTATTAAAGTTGTGAGGATTTTTGTTTTCTTTATATTGAGATGTAATCCATACTGCAGATTGTAGTCTTTGATCTTTACCAGTAAGTGCTTCAAGTCATCCTAACTTTCAGCAAGTAAAGTTGTGTTGTCTGTGTATTGCAGGTTGTTAATGAGTCTCTCTCCAATCCTGATGCCGTGTACTTTTTCATATAGCCCACCTTCTTGGATTATTTGCTCAGCATACAGATTGAATAATCTGTATTCATTGACACACTTTCTTCGTGATTTTAAGCCATGCAGTATCCCCTTGTTCTGTTCAAACGACAGCCTCCTGGTCTATGTACAGGTTCCTTATGAGCACAATTAAGTGTTCTGGAATTCCCATTCTTCTCAACGTTATTCACAATTTGTTATAATCTACACAATCGAATGCTTTTGCATAGTGAATAAAACATGATTAAACATCTTACTGGTATTCTTTGCTTTCAGCCAAGATCCATCTGATATCAGCAATGATATCCCTCGTTCCGTGTCCTCTTCTGAATCCAGCTTACATTTCTGGAAGTTCCCTGTCAATATACTGCTGCGACCATTTTGGAATCATCTTCAACAAGATTTTACTCGTGTGTGATATTAGTGATACTCTCTTTGGAAGGGGTACAAATATGAATCTCTTCCAGTCAGTTGTCCAGGTAGCTCTCTTCCAAATTTCTTGGCACAAACAAGTGAGTGCCTCCGTATGGCATTTGTTCGTTGAAACATCTCAGAGGGTATTCTGTCAATTCCTGGAGCCTTGTTTTCACCACTTCCTTCAGTGCAGCAGCTTCGACCTCTTCGTTCAGTACCACTGGTTCTTGATTATATGCCACCTCCTGAAATGGATGAACATTGACCAATTCTGTTTGGTACATTGACTGTGTATTCCTTCCATCTTCTTTTGATGTTTCCTGCGTCATTCAGTATTTTTCCCATGTTGTTGTTGTTATGTGCCATCGAGTCAGACGTGACTCATAGCGACCCCTCCTTGGGTTGCCGAGGCAATATCACTATGGAAGTAGATTGCCCCATCTTCCTTCCGAGGAGTGGCTGGTGGATTTGAACCGCCAGCCTTCTGGTTAGCAGTCAAGTGCCTTAGGCACTATATTGCAATTTGAGGCTTGAATTTTTTCCTCAGTTCTTTCAGCTTGGGAAATGCTGAGTGTGTTCTTCCCTTTTGATTTTCTAACTCCAGGTCTTTTCACATTTTGTTACAGTAACTTTGTCTTCTCAAGCTGCCCTTTGAAATCTTATTCATCTCTTTTATCTTGTCATTTCTTATATTTGCTTTAACTACTCTCCATTCAAGGGCAAGTTTGGGAGTCTCTTCGGACAGCTATTTTTATTTTTTTTCCTTTCCTGTCTTTTTAATGACCTTTTGCTTTCTTTGTGGATGATGTTCTCAATGTCATCCTGCAATTCCTCTGGTTTTTGGTAATTGGTGTTCAGTGCATAAAATGTAGTCTTTAAATGGTCTCTAAATTCAGGAGGGATATAATAAAAGTCATATTTTGGCTCTCATGGGCTTGTTTTAATTTTTTCAGCTTCAACTTGAACTTGCATATGAGCAGTTGATGGTCTGATCCACAGTCAGCTCTGGGCTTGTTTTGGCTGAAGATACTGAGCTTCTCCATTGCCTCTTTCCACAGATGTGGTTGATCTGATTCCTGTGTACTCCAGGTGGTGAAGTCCACGTGTATAGCCACCATTTATGTTGTTGAAAAAAAGTATTTGCAATGAATAAGTCCTTGGTCTTGCAAAATTCTGTCATGTGTTCTCCAGCATTACTTCTGTCATCAAAGCCATACTTTCCAGCTACCGGTGATTCTTCTTTGTTTCCAACTTTTGCATTCCAGTCACCAGTGATATTTAACACATCTTAATTTCATGTTTGGTCAATTTGAGACTGCAGAAGTTGGTAAAAATCTTCAGTTTCCTTATCTTTAGCTTTGGTAGTTCATGCATAAATTTGAATAATAGTGGTATTAACTGGTGATCCTTGTAGGCGTATTGATATTATCCTATCACTGACAACATTGTACTTTAGGATAGATCTTGAAACTTTCTTTGTGACGATGAATGCCATGCCATGCCTTTTCAAGTTCTCATTCCTGGCATAGTAGATCATATGGTTGTGTTACTCAAAATTGCCAAAACCAGTCCATTTCAACCCACTAATGCCTAGGATATTGATCTTTATGTGTTTCATTTCATTTTTGACAACTTCCAATTTTCCTAGATTCATACTTCATACATTCCAGGTTCTGATTATTAATGGATATTTGCAGCTGTTTCTTCTCATCTTGAATTGTGCCACATCAGCCAATGGAGGTCCCAAAAGCTTTACTCCATCCACATCATTAAGGTTGGCTCTTCTGTGAGGAGGCAGCTCTTCCCTAGTCGAATTTTGAACACCTTCCGACTTGAGGGACTTACATCCAGCACTATATGGGACTGTGTTTCAGGGCTATTCACAAAGTTTTCCAGTAATATATCAGACAGTGTTTCACTGTTATTCATAAGGTTTTCACTGGCCAATTCTTTGAGAAGTGGATGGCCCCTTCTTTCTTCTGAGTTTGTCTTAATCCGGAAGCTTAGTCTGGGATTATTGAGTACATATTAAATTTAGGAAGATTTTCTTAAAAGAGATAATAGTACTTTAGCTGCATATATTCAAAGTATTCATAAAATTTACTGATGATGATTTCATTGTGGGTTACTCCATGAGACTACAGTAATTTTTATGTTTTCTAGTCTTTCTAGGAGCTGTGGTGGCATAGTGCCTAAGGCATTTGACTGTTAACCAGATGGCTGGCGGTTCAAACCAACCAGCCACTCCTTGGAAGGAAGGTTGGGCAATCTGCTTCCGTAGTGATACTGCCTCGGAAACCCAAGGAGGGGTCACTATGAGTCGAATCCGACTCCACAGCATTGGATTTGGTTTTTGGTTTGGTAGTCTTTGAACTAAATCAGGAATATAGACATGCTTTCACTCAAATCTCTTTGGAGAATCCTTTCCAGGAAGGATAAATCAAACTGGTATTGTTTCTAAAAGGATTGTATCCAGTTGTGTCTAGTGACCAGTTTAAAATTCCCCGTAGAATTAAGTGTACACAAAATGAAGAGTATTACTGGGTGTGATACATCCACAGGCATGTTGTTATTGGATGCCACTTAGTCAGTTCTCAACTCATAGTGACCTCATGTGACAGAGTGGAATTGTCCCATAGGATTTTCTGGCTGTAATCTTTATAGGAGCCAAGACTTTCTTCCCCGAAGCTGCTGGATGGGTTTGAACTGCCGACTTCTCAGTTAGCAGCCAAGTGTTTAACTGTTTTCCCACCAGGGCTCCTTTGCACAGGCATACTTAATTTGAAATGTTAAATTGTTCATTTTGACCTACTTTCTTATGGGTCGTAATTTCTACATGTGAAAATTCAACTTAATTTTTTTTGTCAAGATCCATAAACCCCAGATAATTTTTTTTTCTTCAGCTTTCCTTCAGTAACGCACAGATGTACACACACACACGCACACATTGTAATGTGTAGTAACACACTGTTTTCATGGGCCTTAGAGTTGATTTTGTCTTGGAGCCACCCCGTATGGCAGAGTAGAATAGTCCCGTAGGGTTTCCTAGGCTGTAAATCTTTAGGGGAGCAGATCATCAGGTCTTTTGTCCTGTGGAGATGCTGAGTAGGTTTGAACTGCCTGCCTTTGGGTTACCATCTGAGTGCTTAACCAGAACTCCTTAATGACATTACAAAGTGCAAAATAATGCATTTTAGACTTACATATGAGTCCTAATAAGCCATTTCAGGAACACATTGAAGGATCACTATTATATAGTATCAGATCTTTCGGGATGAGGGTGGTAAGTTAAAGCAGTGACGAGTCTTACTTAGTAGATCTTTGAATACATAGTTTAGAAAACAGATTTATTGCCAGGCTTAGTTGCTTTTCAAATTGTCTTTTGCTTTTAACAAGAAAGATGCAAATATCAAAGGAGATTGCTAAGTGGCTGTTGGAAACTTTTATCCCCATTGAGATACATAGAAAGTGAATTTTTGAAAATTGCCCTAAATTGGAAAGAGTCCTAAATGATTTTCCATAAAATTATTTCCTTTATTTAAGACCATCATAAGGTTTTGCTATTATTATGTTAAAAAATGGTTAGTAGTATTTAGTTACCATTTAGGGGCTGTTAGTCTTTATTTGGGAGCTCTGGTAGCATAGTGGCTAAGACACTTGCCTGCTAACCAGACGGCTGGCGGTTCAAACCCACCAGCCACTCCTCGGAAGGAAGGTTGGGCAATCCTACTTCCGTAGTGATACTGCCTCGGAAACCCAAGGAGGGGGTCGCTATGAGTCGGGTTTGACTCGACGGCACATAACAACAACAGTCTTTATTTGGGATGATGGCTGATAGCCATAGTAGTTTGATTTCCATGTAATCTGATACATACATTTCTAAATGAGATTGTGAGTAGGGTAGAAGGAATTGTGTATGAGAACCATTGTTATTTTATAGACTTTACAATATTTTTTGTTTGGTCTGGGGTAGTCTCTTACAATAGAAAACCTTTTAATAATGACCTTTCAAATAATTTACTTTTATTGTAGGTGTTCAGGTTCTGTAAATCTAAGTGTCATAAAAACTTTAAAAAGAAGCGTAATCCTCGCAAGGTCAGGTGGACTAAAGCATTCCGGAAAGCAGCTGGTAAAGAGCTTACAGTGGTGAGTATAGTTGGCTATCAAAAGAGTTTTTACATTTTTCAAGAATTTAATTTATGTGATTTAACGAACTATAACAAAGCATCCTATAACATGATTGATTAGTGATTTATTTGTGTTTGGTTATGGAAATAATTCCATCCTCACAAGAACCTGAAAACCATAACTCTGTAGAATTCTGAAAAGGAAAAAAAAATATTCTCCATCTGGTTTGTAGAAGTGATTTCTCTTAATCTCAAAAACTGTTTTTAGCACTTGCAAAGAAAAGAGAACAATCATTAAAATGGATTGGGGTGAAGTTGAAAATTGCCACACAAGGCTTTTGAGGGGTCATTAAGAAATGAATTAATGGATTCCTGAACAGTAGTGAGGGCTCAAATGAGCTTTGTAATAGACTCATTTATCAGTTTCTAGATTTCCTTAGCAGGAATTTGTGTTTGAGACCAGAGAAATTAGTTAGTATTGGTGTGAGGGGGAATAGTAGGAAGTCAAGGAGTGAGGGAATTCCATAAGGTGACCCCATTATCGTATAGCTGTTCTAAACTGATGTGCTGAAACTTGTCTACATTTGACCCTTGTAAAGGGAGGAAATGAAGAACTGTTCACAGTCTCCATTTGTAGGAGAAAGATCTTTAAACTGATCCCTTCCTCTATGACTTCATTCTTCCCAAAGCCTCTTTTCCTACCTGTCTGCTGCTTAAGGGCAAGATCTATAAGCATTTGCCATGAAGCCCTTTCCTGGCTTCCTTAAAATCAGAGGTGTTCAATGAACTTAAGGAGATTTTCAGATAATGCAAGGTCAAATCGCAATTAACGTAACATAATTTTCAAATATGAGAAGAAGCATAGCACTTCAGATGCAACTGGCAGCTGCATGAGTGAAGAAAGGATGTTAGGGTCATTCATTGGTGACTAGTGACTTTGTTATTACTGAGCTTATTGCCGTCTGAATAGCGGTAAGTGTATATAAATGGAATAGCTAAATACAGAGTTGATGCTCTTCCGTATTCCTGTGTCACATAGATGGGAAAACCAAAGAATACCTGTAGATTTTCCATGAAACTTGTAGTTTTTTCATGTTTACTTTGTGTAATAATTGAGGAAGAGGAAGACACAGAGAGGTATACAAGAGGTACAGACAACAAAGATCAAAGAAAAAAAAATGCTTTGTGTATTTTAAGATTAATAGAATCATTACCTGTCAGAATACCCACTATGAGAACTGGTATCCACATTTGAAGGAGACCTGAAGAATCTCAGGGTAGCGTCACATTTACTTGAAGATTTATAGTTTCAAACCTTTATGCTATAACAGTTAGGTTGAATTTCATAGGAAATTCTTGATACTTGACTTTTTAATCTATGAAAAATGGCAATTTCATACTGTTCAACCCAATATAGAATTTTATTAGTGAAGCTTTTTGAGTTTATTTGTAAACTCTGTGATTGTTATCTGCCCTTTTAGGGGTGGGGGATGATAATTCTCCCCTCCACTTACTTTGAGAATCACTCATACATGGAGAGTTGTTTTTAATAGGCGTGTCTTCTGTATAGAGGTACGTAAAGGAGTAAAAGTCTCAAAAACCTCTGTTCCGTGAGATCATATTCTATTCTGAGTTCCATGGGAATCTTAGTATGTGTGTAGTTTGACACACTGAACTCTTATGAAAAGGAGAATACATTTTAATAAATGATTCTGTCTATCTCTTAAAGCAACATGTATGTGTGTATATATATATATATTTTGTTCCCCCTTTGTTTCCTCTACAGGATAATTCATTTGAATTTGAAAAACGTAGAAATGAACCTGTCAAATACCAGCGAGAGCTATGGAATAAAACTAGTAAGTTACAAGGGAATACTAGTAATTTTCAAAAGAGACTAGCTTGGGATATTACCTTATCTTTAGTGTCAGTTGTTGCTTATACTAATTTTCTTCTTTCTGTTGCTTGGCTTTTATTATTTTACCCTTGTTTTAATGGTTCTGTAGTATTTGTGTCTTTTATTATGAGCTATCCCCACTTCTTTTCAGCAGTTGCTAGTGTATCTTATAAACACAGTGTAATATTTAAATTTGGTGTTATTTGAAGTGTCCACCCAGATATATAAGCATCTAAAAATCTGAAAAGAAAAAAAACAGCTAATTTTTTTTCGGGTGGAGTGTGGCATAATCTGAATATACCCAAAACCCACCAACATATTTTATAAGATTAGGTCACTCTAGGGATATAAACAATGTGTTCTAATAGCTTATAAAATACAGAGCTTATGTAAAATTTAAAAACAGCTGTTCAGATGACAAACATTTTCTGGTAATTTCTTATAAGTACTTGATTTAATGGAGCTACCCATGTTGCGGGAGCTCTGGTGGCATAGTGCCTAAGGCTCTTGACTGCTAACTAGAAGACTGGTGGTTCAAACCCACCAGCCACTCCTTGAAAGGAAGACTGGACAATCTACTTCCGCACAGATATCGCCTCAGAAACCCAAGGAGGGGTCGTTATGAGTCGGATCTGACTTGATGGCAGTGGTTTGGGTTTTGGGTACCCATGTTGCTGTTGAGTTGATTCTGACTCTTAATTACATGGGATAATATAGAACTGCTCCGTAGAATTTCCAAGATTGTGATCTTTGTTCCTGGGGAGTTTCTGGTGGGTTTGAACCACCAGCCTTTGGATTAGCAGCCGAGCACTTAACCATTATACCACCAGGGCTCCATAATGAAGGTACAGGCTATAGAAATTAAAGGCAATAATAGTTTTGTCTCCTCCCCACCCCCCTGAAGTAGGTTGAGATTTTAGGTACCTTGAACTAGCTTATAGAGACTACTACCATGTTGCTCTGTGTTTGAGGCCTTCAGCCTTACTTTCTCGTTCCCCCATGGCTCCCTTATGCAGCCTTTAGGTACTTTTAGTATAATTAAGTAGAAGTCCCTAACATTTAGAATTTTGTGAACTTTGTCATTCTCTTAATGAATCATAGAGCACCCTTTGAACACCTTTTTCTTAGTTAGTTAGAAGACCTCAGGAGAGGTACGGAAAAGTTGTGGACTTGTGTAGTAGTATATACAACCTCTCAAGCCTTTGTTTAAGGAGCCCTGGTCTTCCACTGGTTAAGCACTGGGCTAACTGAAAGGTTAGTGGTTCAAACCCACCCAAACAGCTCTGTGGGAGAAAGACCTGGCAATCTGGTCCCATAAAGATTATAAGCTAGAACTTTTTTTTTTTCCATTTTGTATTGTGATTTGGGTGAAAGTTTACAGAGTAAATTCATTTTCCATACAGCATTTCATACACATTTTGTTTAATGACATTGACTCTACTTCCCCACAATGTAACAGCTCTCTTCCCACTTCTTCCCTATAGTTACCTCTTCCTTGTGTCCTTCTGTGTACTCCTGTCCCCCAAGCTATCTGCTTATGCAAACACTGCCCTTCTGTTCTCCTGAGACTGAGGCTTCAAGGAGTGTGTAGCCTAGAAAACCTTATGGGACAGTTCTGCTCTGTCACATAGGGTCATTGTAAGTTGAAATGGACATGGCAGCACCTAACAAAGCTCTGTTTATGTTACTGAACAATGTGGAGAAATCAAAGTTTATATTTGGATTGCCTTTTCCGTGTAGCCCTAAATGTTCGGCCACCTTTTTCTTTTCTGATTACTTAAATGTGGCAGTGATACGACTTTACACTTACGTCTTTAATTCTCAGACCCAAGAATTTTGTAGCTAGGTGAATAGTTTGACTGAATTCTTCTTCTTCTTCTTTTTTTTTTAAATAAGGTCCTTCCCTTCCTTTTTTTTTTTAATTAGGATTTGGGTGAAGATTTACAGAGTAAATTCACTTTTCATACAGCAGTTCACATATACTTTGTCTCATGTCATTGACCAAAATTT